GGACAGACGAACAGATGGAGGAAAAAAGATGGCATAGAGACAGACAGACAGACATACAGACAGGGCGACAGACGAACGGATGGAGGAACAAAGATGGCACAGAGACAGACAGACAGACATACAGACAGGGCGACAGACGAACAGATGGAGGAACAAAGATGGCATAGAGACAGACAGACGAAGGAAGGACAGGCAAGGCAAAAGAATGACAGAACGAACGTCAGATCAGAATGGATGTAAGCCTGATATAACACAGAAACATGCTTTTATTCCTCGAGGAGTTTCTCCTGAAGGTAACAATAAGAAAAATACGACAATAGGGAAAATGAAATACCTAGCAAACCCTTCCTCATGATTACGTAAGCCAAATACTCGGTGGAAACCGTATTTGGTTTTGTTATGACGTCCTTCTCACTAGGAGTTAAGATTTGAAGTTCTGGTTTATCAATTTCACTTCCCAAACCTACAGGTATTACTTTGATTTTAGCTTGTTCCAATAGAGACGCTTTCTCCTGCAAGACTTTAACGCCGCTGTCAGATTTCGTGTCTGTTATTACCACTAAAACCTTCTTTGCTCCAGGACGCCCATATTGATTAAATGCTTCCTTAGCCTTTTCCAGAGCTGGGCCCAACGCAGAACCAGATGCTCGACTTATTGTCTTAATAAATGTCACCAAACGGTCATCTGTTCGTCGCTGATTGAACTGGATCTTTACGTCTGGGACGGACCCGTAGACTAATATACTGTACAGTACTCTCTCCTGACCATACATCTCTACTATCTGGGTGATAACATCCTTCATCTTTTGGAAGTTGGTTCGTGACTGTACAGCATTGGCACTGATGGCAAAGGCCAGGTCTACCTCTGGTATGATCGGCAAATCTGCAAATGAAACACAGAAATTAACACGATAAGAGAGGGGTGAGAATGGCACAGTGGCGAGAGCCCTCGCCTCCTCCTCCTCCTCCCGAGGTTCAAATCTCAGACCTGACTTCACATGTACGTTGAGTCTGTCGTTGGTTGTCGTCCCTGCCCCGAGGGTTTTTCTCCGGTTCATCCGGTTTTCCTCCCTCCATAAAAACCATCATTCCAAATTTCGATTCGAGCTGAAAAAGCCACTTCAGGAATGTCCACTTCTAACTTCTTATTATTAATGTTACATTATCTTTATTATTATTATTATTATTATTATTATTATTATTATCATTAAAGAAAAATTTTACAACAGAAACATTATTTAACACAGCGTTTGACAGATTTATGAAGCTAAATCAAAGAATACCAACAAACACTCTGCAAAATATACCCGAGGTGAAATCTTTGGTCCTAAACAAAAGTCCTCACCTTTAAGTACGATAATCATAACTTCATTTCCCAACTTGTTTGGTTCTTCATAAATTTCCTTGGCCTTAATTAGGTTTCCTTTGTTAGACACGACTTTGATGAGCTCATCAGGATCTGCTTCTGATCCTACAGCCACGGCTATCACTTTAACACCTTTATCTTCCAGAGGTTTTGCAGCCTTCTTCAACGTTTCCAAATCGTTCCCTGATTTGCTTCCAACAAACACAACTAAGAACTTCTTAGCTCTCGGTCTCGGTGATGCAGCCTCAAACAACCGTTCTGCTCTATCCAACGCCTTCCCTATATCCGGCCGTCCGCGCGGTCGAGGAGTGGCTGTTACAAGTTGGATCAAACTGTCTGCATCACCCGGCCGGTCTCCAAAGCCTCGTAGAGAAGAAGGATTTGTTCCAAAAGGAAGGATAGCGAAGCGAATTTGATCATAATCATTGTACTTCTCGATCAGGTTTTTCACTGCTTCCTGCATTTTCTTGTATGTTCCATCCGCTTTTGAATCAGAAGTGCCAAATGCGAAGCATATGTCCATTTCTGGAATAGCTGGTCTTTCTGAAAGGTAGAGTGAGAAAAATTCCGTCAACGAAATAATTACATAATGACAGAAAATGAAACGCTTACTAAAACCATTTATAGCTATGCAAACAAAACAAGAAAGATAGTGAATTTTAGTTTTGGTCGTCCTTCGAATGAAGGAAAATGTTATTCAGTGTATCGCGTGCGTGGGTCTCCACGAGTAATCAAACTCAAAACTTTAGGATTTCGCGCCCCGATATTTTACCACAAAGTTACAGAAAACTTTATGGCGAATTATACCGTGATCATGCCGGGAATCCCCAGGGCAAGCTCACAAGACGACTTTTTTTCACGAGCATTAGACAACAAAAACTGAGTCCCTTTAGAAGAAATGAACCCCAAGGACGTGTACACAAACTTACTAGCTCTCATAATGATCTCCTCTGAAGTTTTCTCCGAGTCTCCGTCTTTGTCGGCTTTCACCAGATCGTTCTTATCAAGCGTTGTATTGGTGAGTTCCTCAACATCTGCCTCTCGGCCAAGCGCCACAGGGATAATACGGATTTTGTAACTTTCCAGCAAAGCAGCGGCATTTACTACTTCCTCGATGGTATTGTCTGACCTTTTGTCAATAATCACGACCAGTACTTTCTTAGCATCCGGTCGGAGACCTGTGCAATTTAAAAAAGTCTGAGGTTAAGTCCTGCATCCTGTTATGGCGAGAAACACCGCTTAAGTCTATCCCCTTTTCCATAGCAGGACGTGACCAGAAGTACTTGTTGCTCCCCCAGAATGGGATGATAGACCATTACAGGTACAATGGTGGAAACAAACACAGTGCGAAAAAAGACAATACTACGAGCCCAGACCTGTGTTAACTTTAAGGTCTCTACGTCTCACACATTTATGAGCAAAGACCCTTTCTCGCCCCAAACCTGACTGAGCCATTATCACAGCAGTACCCGTTCCTTCGCAGCCGTTGTTGGGTCACGTCACGCAACACGTTCTCCTTCTGAGAGAAGAGCGCACGCGTGAAGACACCAAATACAGTTGCGAAGGCACGGTCAACTCTGACAACTGTCATTTTTATGACCTTTCTACTTGAAATATTTGCTGTATTGTTTCTGTTCTCATTCTGACGATAACTTGAACAGTTATACTCACTTACTGTTTGACGACATGTTTCACAAATGTTTGAAATTCAGTACCATGCGAGTACCAACCTTCAGCTTCTTCAAACACTTCTCTTGCTCCTTCCATTGCATTTTGGAGAGAAACGCCACTGGGATCCTTCATTCTGCTCCGCTTGATGGCATTGTTCAGCCTGTTGACGTCATTGGAGATGAAACCAAATTTAAAATGGAAGTGCGCCTTTTGGCCGAATGTCAGTAAGCTGTACTTGATCTTCTTAATGCCATATTTTTCGATGATCTTGTAAATGACGTCTTGCGCGTAGGCAAAGTTCTCCTCCGAGTCTGTGGCTGTGGTACTGATTGCAAACAACAGATCCATGGCGGGTATGAAAATCCTCTCTGTAGACAGAAAAGCAATGTCGTATTCAATGAATAAAAGAGGTCATGCTTGCTTCAAGATTGAGGAGCCTAACAAACCGGTGGTTAGTAAAGTCGAGACCGGGTACATCCCCGGGAAAGGCGGAAGAGGGTTGGGAGAGCGGGGATAGCTATGATATATTATCTCTCTTTTTATCAAAAGGTCGACAAAGACCTCACTACCAGCAATCAAAACTCCGTCAAGAATACGATCAACCAACTCATAACTAAACAAGAATTGCCGGCCACAGCAAAAAATCTCATCATAACCACTCCTAGAACTTCTCGTATTTACTTTTTACCTAAAATTCACAAACCTACCAACCCGGGTCGGCCCATTGTCTCGGCTTGCAGTTGCCCTACCGAACTTATCTCCAGCTATCTAGACAAAATTATGGCTCCCATCGTCAAAACTTTACCATCATATATTAAAGACAGCCAACACGCTCTTCAAATTTTTCGAGACTTTAATTTCCTTGGCCAAAACAAACTTCTTTTCACCATGGATATTACGTCTCTTTACACTGTCATTCCTAATGGCGAAGGCCTTCTGGCCCTTAAACATTTTTTTGATCAACGTACTGTTAAGGAACCTAAATCTGAAACACTACTACGCTTAGCCGAACTAGTGCTCACACTCAATTGTTTTTCATTCGGAAACAACTTCTTCAAACAAACCAATGGTGTAGCCATGGGCACCAAAATGGGACCTAGCTATGCCAATCTTTTTGTAGGTTTTGTCGAACATCAATTTTTCAGCCAATACAACGGGTCCAAACCTGAACTCTACGGTCGCTACATCGACGACTGTATCGGCGCTACCTCCTCTACCAGAGAGGAGCTCACTCAATTCATAACCGCAGTCAATTCTTTTCACCCGGCTCTGAAATATACCTGGGAAATTTCTGACAATTCTTTATCCTTTTTAGACATCAAAGTTTCAATTGAAGGTAACGGTTTATGCACTAGTGTGTATTACAAACCTACAGACTCGCATAATTACTTGTTATATTCGTCTTCGCATCCATCTCACGTTAAGAATTCCATTCCTTTTTCTCAGTTTCTAAGACTTCGTCGTTTATGTAGTGATGACTCTGATTTCCACCACAAATCAGAGTCAATGTGCCAGTTTTTCGATAAACGTGGTTACCCTGTTTCTGTCGTTCAAGCGGGTTACCACCGCGCCCAACTTATTGATCGACATTCAGCACTACAAACGTCGCATAAGGAAGATTCCGACCGCATTCCATTCACTCTCACGTTTCACCCTCACAACCACTCAGTTAAATCCATCATTCTTAAAAACTTTAAATTACTTCAAAACGATCCAGAGACAAGCACTATCTTTTCGCAGCCTCCGCTCATTTCATTCAAACGCGACAAAAACATAGGCAATTTTTTGGTCAGAAGTTCTTTTCAGACTAATGACCAACCAGGCACTTTTAAATGCGCTCGTGCACGATGCAAAACGTGTCCTTTCATTCACAACACTGATAAAATATCGGGACCTAAACGATCCATTAAGATCACCGATCACTTCACGTGCACCTCCGCCAATGTAATCTATTGCATAACTTGCACTTATTGCAAAAAGATATACATCGGCGAAACAGGCAGAAGACTAGGTGACCGATTCCGAGAACACCTTCGAGACGTGGAAAGGAATGACAAGGACACATCGAAACCAGTCGCTAGACATTTTAATTTACCTAATCATTCTAAGCAACATATGGCAATCTGCGGTCTTTCCTTGCACTTAGGTGGCACGGAAAGCCGTAAAAATCTTGAACAAAAGCTCATCTTTCAAACCGGCAGTCTAAATCCCACAGGGATCAACGAACGCTTTTCATTCCACTAATTTATTCTTGTTTTTCTCGTTGCCATGTTCCCACCAATAACGTAGCTCCATTCTCTGCCTTTAAAAGCACACACAACCCACAATTCCTCTATTCGCTCCGACGAAGGGCTAACGCTCGAAACGTCAGCTTTTGTAATCGTTACGGTGGCCAATTTACCACTTCAACTTTGTTGATATATCCAAATTATATGATATACTATGACGAGTTGAATGTGGTTTTTTAGTGGTTCAAACCTACTCAAGCAAATGCGTCACTGCAATAATTTTTTATAACTTTTCAATCACGAATTGGTACAGCTGAAAAATGAAGTCATTTTACATAAGCACAATTCTTCTAAGTAAATTTTCAATGGCTCCAACAAACCTTTGAAGACAATAACCATCAATTTTTTCTTAATTTCGCTGGTTTCATCTGTGGTCTCAGCTGACAAAAACGAGCTCTTGTCATCGGTCAGTAATTGAAGTTGCCTTTCATCAGCCTCGACTCCAAGAGCGACAGGGATAACTGTGACGTCATTGTCTTGTAGGGGCTTCAGCGCATTTCCTATTTCTCCCTCTGTTGCTTGAAATCTTCGGTCTGAAACGACGACTAGGACCTTTTTGGCGTTAGTTCTCCCTTCATCTGAAATCATGTCCCATGAAGTCTTGAGAGCCTAAAACCAAAAAAATTTATTTCTTTTTATTTACTGTACAAAGTTGTCTCAACTTTAACTTTAATTTTTTCATCTTTCGCAAGCTGCAAAAAATCAGTTGGCAAACAGTGCGCATATTGCAGGAATCAACAATATCGAAAGCGTCTCCCTCGTTCTTTCCCATTTCAAGACCGTCTGATTATTTTACCGTGACATATGACCGCGATATCTCTGGGAGATGCATCAGACATAATTTCCCCTCAAACAGACTTCAGGAAGAAAAAAGCTGAACCCTGAAATTGTTATCACACTTGTCCATACCCTACCTTTGCCAAGTCAGCTCTGCCTGTCTCTCGGTCAAATGAATTTAACCTTGCCATTAACTGTTGGTCTGTATCGTAGCCATCAACCAAACGCAAAGCTTCGGTTTGCTCTCTTCCGAATAACACCACACCATAATGAATACGCTCCCGGCCATACTCTGTGACTATGGAACTGATTACATCCTTGGTCTTCTGGAAGTTTTGCTCTCCAAGTGTCGCCGTGCAGCTGATTGCTAGGACCATGTCTACCTTCTCTATTGACGGATAATCTGATGGGGAACAGATAAAATGTGAAAACTCCTTATAAACGTTTTTAGATTCTGTTTCGTAATACCAACCCCTAGTAAGATTCCCTCGCACATTCCGCGCACTGACGCTTTCTCACCGAGCTTTACTGAACCCTCTGTTTGAACTGGGTGAGTTATAAACACAGTGATTGTATAGCTCACCATAGAGGTTACTGTAGCTCAGTGGTACAGCAATGGGAGGCGGATTCCAAATGTCTAGGGCTCGATTCCCACCATGACAAATAACTCTTTTTATTCCATTACCGAGCTCAAATTTTAACATAGTTATTCGTTTTAACACGGGCGTTGGACAAAGAAAAATTTGATTCCCTTCGAGGAGTCGAACCTCTGAACCCAGCCCAAAAGGTATCATTTCTACCAAGCATAAAAAGGTAAATGTCACAAGACGCCAATACAAAACTGGGCCACAATAATGAGACTCAGGAAAGGTTCCTCGCCTTTTATAACAGTGTTTATGATCTTCCTTCCCAGAGCTTTAGATTCTTCATCTTTTGGAGAGGTTATCAAATTCTTCCGGTTGGTGGTGATTTTCTCCAATTCGTTGCGACTTGCTTCGGAACCAATAGATACTGGAATGACCTGCAAGATCAAGATATAAAAATGAATCATTATCCTTGTATTATTGACAAGGCTGAGTCCTTCAGTGTGCCCGGCATTGGTTTTTCTTAGTTGTAGTTAAAGTATTTTGGTCACTGACAATTTATTGTCGTACGCTGAAAAAAAACCTCATGTATTAGCTTCGTAAGAAAGACAAAGAGTAGAGGGCAAAGAATGGACCACCAGGAACAAGGATGCTTGAATGAAAAAGGAATTGCAACTTATAAACTGAAAAAATTTAAGATCACTTTTGAAAGCTGCAAAACCCTCTCAAATTTAATGTGATCCCAGATGTATTCGCTGACAGTTGTTAAGAGATCACAAGAAGAGAGATCACGACACTTACGTCCTTAAATTAATTCGTACCAGCACATAATTTCAAAATTTACAAACCAAGCTGACCCACCTTGATTTCATCCTCTTCTATAGCTTCTGAAGCTTGTTGGATCTCTCCTGGCTGGTTACCTGAATTGGAGTCCATGACCACCACCAAGAACTTTTTGGCCCTTGGTCTGTCTAATGCCTGATCAAACACTCCTTTTGCTGTCTCCAGCGCCTCTTTCAGATTTGGTACACCAATAGCACGAGGAAGACGCTCGATTAATTGTTTGAGTTCATCCATAGTCCGACCATCTTGGAACTCGACGTCCTCGTAGGAGGATAAACCGAATGTGACGACTGCATAACGAATGCGATCGTTGCCGTAGTAGGTGATGATAAAGTCAATGGCGTCTTTGATTTTCTGAAACGTTTCCTCTTTTCCAGCGGCATTGGAACTGATGGCAAAGGCCAAGTCTACCATCGGAATAGCTAAGAAAACACCAAATAATAGCGTCAATCAATGTGTGCAGTAAAAAAGGGAAAAATGTGTCTAGCTGTTGGAAGACGAAGTTGCGGATTTTAACGGCTGATTTGCAGTGAGGGGTGTGGCCCTGAGTTTACTCTACTTAGCTGGCGGATTTTTAGCGCTTTGAATTAAAACAAAAACCTTTGAGTTGAGGGACAAAGCCGCGAGAGGTTTGACTCCAAAGAAAACGCCTCTTCTGGCAGCAACCCTGATGTATCAAAGCTGATTAAACTCATCAGCAGCTACTAACGTGATTTTCATTAACAGTAACATTATTGCATTTTCCTAAGATGACAAATCAACCGCTTTGATGTCGTTACTTTACCTTTCATCATTTTGTCCATGATTCTCTGAGCAACGTTCACCGTCTTGTTCGTTATATATGCTAATATCAAGTTTTCCTTGTGAAGCGTAATCAACTCCAGCTCCCCCTTATCAGCCTGACTACCAAACGCAATTGGAATCACCTCGACGTCGCCCTCCCACAATGGAATAGCCATGCTCTGCACGTCCTTCCTGTTACTGGTAGACCTCTTGTCCTTTATCACCACCAGTACGTTCTTAGCGCCCTCCCGGTCATATTCCCCAAACAACTCAGCAGCTTTCTTCAGGGCCTTATCCAAAGCAGCTCCGTCCGTGGCTCTAGCCTTAAGATCAAGATGTGCTTTAAGTTCAGCATCACTATCGAAGGTCCTGGAGAATCTCAGCTCAACTGAAGGTTCGTTTCCAAACACAATTAGACTGTAGTGAATCCTTTCCTTGCCATATTCATCCACCATCGTTTTGATGAGGTCTTTCATCTTTTGGAACTTCTCGTTTGCATTAGAGGAGAGACCGCTGATCGCGAAGATCAGGTTAACCATCGGGACCGCTGGAAGATCTGTTAGAAATCAAAGATGGCTTCCGTTTTAATATTCACCCGGAAAGATACTTTCAATGTGTTCCACTTTATACGTAGATAGTGACAACACTTTTAAAGATTAGTTTAAGTTTTACGTACAATAGAATTCATCCTGGGGTTGTCAACAGGTCGCAACAAAGACTCAAGCGCATAAACAATCCCAACAGCTACTACAGCTAGGAAACATCAGTCAGTAATTCTAAATATTAGCAAGAGAAGACGCATACAACATAGAAGCCTTAGCCAAGTAACACGCGTTTAGGCCAACAAAACACTCACTCTTTATAGCTTTTCTGATTATTTCTTCTCCAAGTCTCTCTGGATCTTCATCTTTTCCAGCAATGACGATGAATTTCTTATTAGTTGTTGTTTTTTCAAGTTCAGATAGACTGACTTCGGAACCCACTGCAACAGGGACCACTTTGACATTCACATCTTCTAACAGCTTAGCTGCCTTCTTGACATCACCGGAATCACTGGCTGACTTTTTATCCATTATTACTATGAGAACCTTCTTAGCTCCGGGTCGAGGGGTAGCCTGTTTAAACATCATCTTTGCCTCCTCGAGAGCCTTCTTCAAGTCTGGTGCACCACTCAGGTTACTGGCCCCTTCTAAAGCCTTTCGTAGTTCTTCTGGGTTGGGCGAATCTTTAGTGAAACTCACCTCTTTATTGACTGTGCTGCCGAAGGTGAGTAGAGCATAGCGTATTTTGCTGGCCTCGTAACGTGTAGCGATGGAGTCTATGGCTTCTTTCATCAGAGTAAACGTTTTTTCTGCATCCTGGGCTGAAGCGCTGATTGCAAAGCCCAAATCTAAAAGAGGAACCGATGCTGTCTCTGAAAGATAAGAAAAATATAACAATGAACTTGGACTCTAAGTAACTGGATTCCCACTACAACCTTACACGTGGCACTCCGTCAACAGAGATCACACGGTTTTCTTACCATTCAGTGCCCTTCTTATAATATCCTTCGCAATGTTTTGAGCCGAGTCGCTGTCTGATGGTGTTAGCACATCCTCCTCTACAGCTGTCGTCTTCTCCAGCTCCCCTTTGTCCGCTCTATCAAGCCCAACTGGGATCACTCGGATGCCAGCTTCCCTCGCCACAGCCGCGGCATCTTCAGTGTCATCACTAGAACTGTCTGACTTGTTATCAATAATCACGACTAAAATCTTTTTGGCATTCGGTCGCCCTCCATTCTCCTCTGTGAACATGGCTGGGGACTCTTCCAGAGCTTTAGCCAAGTCAGAGCTTCCTGGAACTTCGCGGACAGTGTCCACCAGGCCCATGAACTGAGCATTGCTGTTTACGTGTCGGCTGAACTTGATAATGACGTTCAGTGTGCTTCCAAATGTACCCAGACTGTAGTGCATTTTATTGATTCCATACTTGCTGACAATATCCTTGATTATTTCGTTCGTTTTCTTGAGGTTGTCACCGGCTTTTAGAGCTGTAGCGCTAATAGCGAAGGCTAGATCCAATTCTGGAAGTTTTGGCTTGTCTGCAGATAAAAGAAAACAGTAAGAGCTCGAAACGAAGCACGAAAGTTGATTGATAACTACAAAATGTGAAATAAAATGAGTTTTCTACAAACATTCCACAAACATTGGACTTCTTATGAATTGGGGAGATCATTAAATGTTAATTTAACCCTTCTCCACCTAACATCAGTAAGCATATTCTCCATACTGTTCTCTAAACATTTCCTAACGCGTTGACAAGGAAAATATAATGTGTGACTCAGGGGTGATACTGTAAGGAGAATTTAGATGCTGGTCACTCTTAGGGGTCGAGGGGTTAACACTCCACAACCTGACGTCTGTACATTTAACATTGCTCAACAAGAAACAAATGTCTTACGAACGTTGATTAACAAAAAGATAAACAGATGCGATCGATTTTTGTTGCGCCTGGTCGTTGCAACGGATGCAGGTGATAGCTCTGACGCATTACTATCAAGTTCACCGTCTAATAACAGTTTTTTTCTCACCAGAAATGTCATTTGTGGTATAAATCGATGGTAAAATTACGTTATTTGCTACAATTTATGAGAACCTGCACGTCAGACCGTTACTCCGGATGCAAATCACCGAATGTAAAAATGACATTCCACCAACCTTTCAACCCAATCTTCAGAATCACCTTTGCCACCTTGTATGGATTGCTATCCTTATCAGTCTCTATTAAATCATCCAACCACGGCGTGATCTTCTGCAACTCGTTTTCGTTGGCCTCGTTTCCAAGTGCCACTGGTATAACTCTGACGTCTTCCTGCTCCAGGATTCTGGCTTCTTTACTGACGTCACTGATATCACTCGTGGATCTCTTGTCTGTGATTACAACCAAAATCTTTCTGGCGTTTGAACGTCCCAATGAAACGAACTCCTTCAGAGAGGAACAAAATAAGTTACTGTGTGACAGACTTTCAGCTACAATGATTCATCGCGAAAGACTCGATAGAAGAAACCAAAATACAAAAAAACCGATCTGGGCTCCAAATAATTTAATCTTATATTTTCTAGGTCCCTTTCAAAGTCCCATACTCACCCTTCAAAGATCGAAAACTTCCAATCTTAGGGTGGTTCAGTGACATTTCTGACCGTTTTCACGGAATTTACATAATCTGACGTTACCCTCAACAGATAGATTCTTTGTAAATTTTTTAAGACCAAACCAAAACTAATCACCCCAACAAATCAAAACCAAGATTGAAATACAGCGAGCCAATGAGAAAGGATATAATTGCAGTACCAAAACAGCCCCGTGATGCTTTGCGACACGTAATTCAACAGAATCTCCTGCGCAAACTCAGAACGGCTGTAAATTGTGTCCGACAAAATGTTAGGGTAACGCAAGTTTCCTAGGCCAGTCGCAAACCCAGACAATGGCAAACTACTTACGAAACTCAACCAAAAATTGCTCTTTCTAGTTTGATTGTAGTGTACTAACTTTCATTGTTTGACTAAAAGGCAAACAAGTCACATAAAAATATAATGTCTTCTCTACTCTACCTGGTTCGAGAGTGTTAGGGCTTTAGAAAGTGATGCTCCACGACTATTACGAATTAAACGGATAAAACTCATTAAGTTTTCGTCCGAGTCAAAGATGTTGCTTAAGCGAAGTTCGGGCCGCGGTATATCTCCGTAGACTATGACCGAGTACTTAAGGTCTCCTCTGCCGTACTTGTCAATCATGGCAATGATGATCTCTTTCATCTGACGGAAGTTTTCTATGTAATCCACCTGTGCAGTGGCGCTGATTGCAAAAATAATGTCAGTCTCAGGTACGTCCAATATTTCTAAGAAAAAAAAAAGAAACATCTTTTGTTAGTTTTGTAAACGGATAGACGTAGTGCATTGATGGTTCACACTTTTCTGCTGTTAACGCATCCACTTTGTGAGATGAAGCAAGATGGGCCCAGAAGCCTCAGCAAGGTCATTCGCGATCTCGTCCTACTCACCCACCAACTCCCTTCCCCCTACACATCAGGTTGCACGTTTCTTAGTCTTCCATCCACATCAGCCTCGATTATGTTGAGGCTTGGGAGAGAAGGCCACGTGAGGCTTGGGAGAGAAGGCCACGTGAGGCTTGGGAGAGAAGGCCACGTTTTAACAGTAGTTAGGAAGAATCGGCTCCTTGTTCACGCAGCAAAATTAACTGTGGTTTGTAACTTTATCCCAAATGATGCAAAGAAGTGTGTTATAATTGTTATAAAAGTAAAACTAGCTAGCCAGGAGAACTTTTACAAATTCGAGGTTTTTCCTATTCAAGAAAAAAGGTGAATTTGAAGATATTTTTCCTAAAGTGAAGAGATAGGAAGTGGTAGAGTACGTCATATCTTGGATTCCATGCCATTCACATTGCACGTGATTAATAATCATTTACCCATGGTCACTTTGGTCATGATCTTCTCTGCAAGCTTCACAGGATCTGTGGTCTTCTCTGCTGTCACCACATATCCCTCAGCGGACGTAATGTTCTTCAGTTCATTTAAACTGGCATCAGTACCGACGGCAACCGGCACAACTTTGATGTCATCTTCCTTAAGAGGCTTGAGGGCGACTTCAATCTTCTCATAATTATTAGAAGATTTCTTGTCCATGATGACCACTAACACCTTCTTGGCATTCGGGCGGGGCGAAGCCTGGTCGAATAATTTCCTGGCTTCTGATAAAGCTCGCTCGAGGTCGGGTTCGCCAGAAGGACGTGAGATGGAGTCAAAATACGTTTTTATCTGAGAGAGAATACAAGAAATACTCATGTCGTGTTATTCAAAAGTCAATTTTCGTCATGAAATCGAGAGAAGTCAGGGAAATGTTTGGTAATTCAAATCTGAAAAAAACTACTTGTAAAAACATCGAAGTGATTCAGCTAATTTCAGTTTGCACTCAAGAAGATTTCATCTATTCCTTTAAGTGTACGCAAGAGGACTTGATTGTGCGAAAGAAGAACCAATAACTTCACAGATAGAAAAAAAACGTCAAGTTTTAACACAAAATTATGAAGCATGTGTCTGTGGTTATTATTCGTGGAGAAGTTGGACAGGTCCTGTCTTTGTGACTGGTTAATTTGGACAAATACTCCAATCAAAGCTACTGAAAACCACCCAATTACAGAACAGCATCAACCTTCATACGGTGATGTCTAACTAGTCGACAATGTATTCTCATGAAGACCAGCAGTCCAAACGTTGAGACGTGCAGTAAGTCTTACAAGTATAAACTAAAAGAGTGGATAGCACTGAAGGAGCGCTCTGATAGGTCACTCAAACTCCGAATATCCTCTGCTATTCACCTCCGAACGACTCCGAAAATACTGTTATCGTTGTAAAAATAAATGTGTTAATAGAGGATGGCATTAGCTTTACGACGTCGTGAGCAGCGAGGCAAAAAATGAAGGAAAGAAAAAGACACCGCGAAGTCATATAACAAAAAAAAAGTCGACTGAGTTAGGTCAGGTTGGACGAGGAATCATTTGCCTCTCCATAATGACGCACGAATCTCGCTGCACTCGATCTGATTGTGGCTAAAACTTTTTTTCCGTCCTCCCATCCCACTTAGTCAGTGAGTAGCTATTATTCTTGCAATACAATTATGTACTGAAATGATGGCGTAAATCACTGTACCGTTTTGTCATCTGGAAGAGTCAGTGCAAAGTTGATAGGAGAAATGACCCGATCTCCGAACACTGTCACAGCATACCGCAGTTTGTCGGTTTGGTAAGTCTGCATTATCTCTTGTACAGTATCTTTCATTTGCTGGAAAGTTGAGTCTGAACCCGCTGCAGCAGAACTGATAGCAAATGCCAAGTCTATTTCATCAAGCGTAGCAGTTTCTGCGATAAACAAACAATTTGACTGTTAAGTTACGATTGGATAAAAACATGGTGGTATCGTGTGTACTGTATTTGCCATCTTACTTTTGTGTACCATTACCAACTTCATGTACCCCAGGTATTCTTTCCAAAAACAACAGTTTCCTCTAGTTAAATTTATGACGCATGGATTGCTATCTTTAGTTAGTTATTCTACAAGCATAAAAAAAAATGGCTGCACAAGGTCTGGGGGTGAGGGGGCGACAAACGCTTCTAATCTCGCACGTACTAGGCTTGCACGTGATCGAAAAGCTTGGTATTTCGTTATTTTTAATTGTCTTCTTACATGATTTATTCCACAAAAAATACAATAGGGGAAAAACGTTAAAAGGCCAAAGTGACTCACAGTGGGAGACCAGTTTTGTTTCCAATTCCAATTTCATAAACAATGATGGAGGCAACGCGGCCGAGTGGTCAGCGTGTCGGACTCGCAATCCGGCGCTCCCGGGTTCGAGTCCCGCTCTGACCACTTTCGGATTTGTTCCACGGTAGCTCCGTGTTCAAATCCTCGGCCCTGCTTCTAAAATAGCCAACTGGTTTGCCTCCGGCCAGTCAGGATTCTTAATAATGTTATGTTCAATCTGAATTATTGTTTCAGTTGTCTATCGAGGGCCACTAGTTCATCAGTTGAATTACTGTTATCTGTTACCCTCCTTAAATAAAGTTGTTATTATTATTATTATTATCATTATTATTATTAAACAAACAAAAAAGAGGAAAAGGAAAATTCCCATGGGCTACGTACAACCTGGGCATTAGTGTGCAAGTGTGCAGGAACGAATTGCGCCTCTACTTTGGATATTTGCAGTTTCCATAAATTTCGGTTTTTTACACTTCACCAGTGCAACAAACAAAACAAAAACAATTACTAAGGAACTTACTGTTTAAGACTCGCTCTACTAGTTTCTCCACAATTTTCTCGGGTGAGGTCGAATCGGTTGTGTTGAGCACGTCACCCTCAACATCAGTAATCCTCTCCAGCTCTCCATCGCTTCCATCTCCAAGTGCAATGCCAATAACGCGGATGCCGTTTTCGTCGAGTCTTTGTGCTGCTTTCTTCACTTCCTGTTCCAGACTATCTGACTTCTCGTCTGTGATGACCACTAAGACTTTCATAGCATTCTTTCGGGCACCATTGGAATCCTTGAAAAGCTCTTTCGCTCCGTGCAGGGCTTTATCAAGAGACGCCCTTGCTACGTTTTGTGGTATGTTGTCTATGGTGCTCATCAAGACCTTGTCTCCCCTTGCTGCATCATTAAAGCTGACACGAATGGTTGGGGTCGATCCAAATGTCAGAACACTGTAAGCGATCCTCTGAGAACCGTACTTCTCAACGAAGGTTTTGATGACTTCTTGCAATTTCTGGAAATGTTCTCTGGAATTAGTTGCTGTTGCACTGATAGCAAATCCCATATCAACAAGTGGAATATCTGGCTCACCTAGAGAAAAGCAGCGGAAACATTAGGTACTTTCAGATATGAAGAGTTAAGTCCTCGTGAAAAACAAATCAAAATACATGGTACTGCCATTATTTGTATTGAACTAAATACAAAGCTCAGCTGTAAGAGTCAACCTGACCTTACTCTAGTGTAAACTTGACGTATATTTAAACTTGAATAGTTTTTGCTTTAAGTCAAAGTCTCGACATTTAAAAAATTAACAGTGGTTAAGCGTGTTCTGTACTCTTGACAACGTCAAGACCTTTGTCCTCACGGTGGTCAAAATGTTGAGTCGTAGCCGAGTGAGTCCACATTAAATTTTGTCGCGTTGCCTGAACTCTTATCGACGACGGCAAATTGGCCAGTCAGATCGAAACATCACTGCCAATTCCGGTAAAAATGTCCTTTGACAGTTCCTGAAAAGGTCAAGAATTGTCGACAAATGTATACAAGCGCTTTTTTATGCACTTTACGAAAGCCCAAAAGGGATTTCAGACTTCAGACTGACTGGATCTGGCCTGATGTCCCTTCCCAGCTTTCGCAATTTTGTCGTACCAATAAAAACAATTGTTATTCTTTTACTCACTGTCTGTAACTTTCTGCGTTATCTCCTCGGCAATAGCTTTTGTATCACTGGTTTCATTTGCTTTTACAACATTCTGCTTGTTCGTGGTGGTGGCTGAGGTTTCATCTGGATCTGCCTGACCTCCGAACATCAGTGGAATGACCTTGATACCATTCTCTTCCAATTTACTGGCTGTCTCTTTCACGTCGCCCATACTGCTCCCCGATTTTGCATCCATTACTAGCAATAGAACCTTCTTGGAGTCTGGACGGCCGTCCCGAAACACGCCTCTGGCCGTCTCTAGCGCAGCGGAAAGCGATGAGCGTCCACTAGGTCTTTGCAGGCCCTGTATGGCTGACTTCAAGGCAGCTTCATCCAACTGTTGTGTAAACCGTATTCTTATGCTAGGAACTCGACCAAACAGTATGACGCTGTAGTAGACCCTCTGAACACCGTACGCATCAATCAGCTCCTGGACCACTCCTTTGATTTTAGCGAGATTGGAATTAGCATTTGATGAGATGGTGCTGATGGCGAGTACAAGGTCCACTTGAGGCACAGCTGGCAAATCTTCAGTTAATAAGGTAAAAACATACATTAGGGATGCATTCCATTTATCATATAAACACCAATAAAATACCACTTGAGCTCTCGCGCGAAAATTTGCTATCTTCACACGTGCAAATAACACTGTTACTACGGTTATATTATAAATCGCGCCGTTCGCAGCAAAGGTGAAATGGTTTGGTTTTTCACTGATGTTTATGTAATAAATAGAATATTACATGGCCGCTTGAGGATACGAAATTTCCCTTGACTCGAAGAGACATTCGGAATCTCCTCGTGGCCATGAAATATGCTCTATTCAATTTCCTTAACGGTCTCTTGAACAAAATATTAATCACACCAAACATTCCACTCATTTAGACAGGAAAGTGAAATACTTAACGACTTTTTCTTACTTCGTCATCGCTTCTGCATCGTGGAGTTCAACGATTTTGCAGGTAATGAGAACAGCAATATTTATATGGACAGAGATCTGGCTGTTCAAGCAGGGGACAAATTTAAATAGCAGAGTAGGAGAGGAAGTGCAAATGACACGCCGAGATGAGAATCACCTCAACTGGGGCCTGATGTCTAAACGTCAGTCACTGTCGACAACAACCTTCTTAGCTAGAATTACTCACAGCCGCTGCATAACGTCCCCCTTCGAGCATGACTCCTAGATTCAAACCCTTTATTAAAATTTGAAATACCTTTCAAAACCATCTCCATTATCTGTTCCGCAGTTACGTCTGGATCTAATTCCCTCTCTGTCTTGATGACGTAACCGCGATTGGATGTAACACTTTCCAGTTCTTTGGGGTCTGCTGATGCACCAACCGCTACGGGGATAATTTTAACACCTTCCTCCGCTAGCGGAATGAACGCCTGTTTCACATCTTCGGGACGACTCGTGGATTTCTTATCAGTTATGACAACAATAACTTTCAGGGCATCAGGACGTTTTGGTTCAGTCTCGAACAATTTCCTCGCCTCCTCTAAAGCCTTTTGTAAGTTAGGATCTCCAAAAGGACGAGGGGTATTCTCTATCATATCTTTTAAAGAGTTGATGTCAGAAAGCTCTCGGCTAAAGCTCAGTTTGCGAGTGGCGTCTCGGCCAAACGTTACAAGCCCGTAGCGGATTCTACCAGTGACCCCATACTCGTCAACAATGGCGTTAATAGTCTCCTTCATACGCTGGAAAGTGTCCGTGGCTGATGCAGCATAGGCACTAATAACAAATCCTAAATCGATTTTGGGAGTTCGAAGTTCATCTAAAAGATCCAATAACACAAGAAAGAGAGACGGTGACTTCAGGAAAGCATACTGTCATCAAATATGTACAATAAATACTAATAAACAGAGATGGCGAATATTTTTCCCGAGCACAGGAAAATCCTGAGTTCCTCAAAACGTCCAAATCCCGGGGCCGAATGTTCTGTCAACTAACTCACGGAGAACTCGCTGAGAAGATAGGCCATAAATTTGGCGACAAGCGCCTTTATTACTGTTTGGGCAGAAAAGTAAATGTGGGGTCTACAAGGACTATAAATATAGGTGCAACTAACCGTTTAGAATGTTTCGGACAATCTTATTTGAGATGTGCCTGGGTTTGTCTGTTGTCCTCGGCTTGATAATATCTTCACTGATGGACACAATCACCTCCACTTCATTTAAGTTGTCCTCGTCACCAAGTGGAACTGCAATGACACGGATTCCTGCAGTCTTCAGCTGTCTGGAAGACTTCACGACCGCTTTATTGCTGCTGTCTGACTCCCTGTCGTTCATGACTATCAGAATCTTCTCTGCATCCTCCCTTCCACCTTCACCTGGGCTGAACAACAACTTAGCCACACTAAGAGCTTCATCTAATGCAGCTTCCCTGGATGGCTTACCGATTCCATCAATCAACTCCTTAAGAGTGCTTGAACTTGTCATTTTGTGGCTAAATTGCAAATCCTTTGTAGGGGGATCTCCGAATGTCATCACAGCGTAATGCACCCTACCATGGACACCAAATCTATCCACAAATTCCCTCACTGTGTCTTTCATTTTCATGAAGTTGGCATCTGACTGGAGGGCTGTGGCGCTGATGGCAAACGCTATGTCCATTTTCGGAACATTGAAATCTGCAGAATAGAAAAGGTCAAGAATAAAAAGCCATGCTAACGATTGCAAGTGAATAAATCCATCCCTGCATGACGAGAAAGAGACTAACACAAAGCAATACAATAAGTCCGTTTGAGTCTCATAAACATCACTGACCTTCCAAAACCTTTTCCATGATCTCCTTCGCGACTTGATCAGTATCGCTGGTGTCTCTCACGTCAATCAAATTGTCTTCCTCAGACGTTGTAGCCTCGATTTCATCCGGCGCAGCCTCTCGCCCAAAGGCTACTGGGATCACTTTGACACCAGCCCTCCAAAGAGACTCAGCGGACAATTTGACGTCATCGAGACGATTGTCAGACCGTTTGTCCATCACAAGAACCAACACTCTCTTAGCATTTGGTCGAGGAGAAGCATCGAAGATCCTTTGAGCTCGATTAAGTGTATTTATGACGCTTGCACCACCTGGATTTCGTTCAGTTCGTTGTAGGATTCCTCTCAGTTGTTCGTCGTTCACAGGTCGCGTAAAGGTCACTCTTACAGCCGGTGAAGTTCCGAACACGACGAAGCTGTATTGGATTTTACCGATGCCATATTTGGTGATGACCCAGTCGATGATGTCCTTCATTTTCCCGAAGTGTTCCAGTGAATCCAAGGCATCACGGGCACTTATGGCAAACAACAAATCTAGATCACGTACCTGAGGGATGGCTGAAAAGAAACAAAAACAGAAAGTTATGAAATAGCTATACCATGATGTGTTCCTCTTGGAAAATGAAGTTGAAATTGGTTCAGGTAGCTATCGTCGGCCACTCCTCTCCATCCCGAACCAATTCTTTAATTTTTTAGGTGTATTTACGTCTCATAAATATTTTCCTATCCTAAAAAATTATTTCGTGGTTTGATCCATATCATATAAAAGTTTATTCAAAAATTGAATCAAAATTTTGCTTTGATCTGAATATTTCTTTAAACCTCATCAAAAACATAATTGACGGAATAATTTCTGTTATTCATGGTTTAGATAAGTAAGTGACACCCACCTTCCAACACCTTCTCCATGATTTTTTCTCCTATTTTATCCGGTTCTTCATCTTTCTCAACACTCAAAGGTGTCTGCTTGTCAGGTATCATTTTCTCCAACTGTTTGTTGTGTGCTTCGTCACCTACAGCTACTGCAACCATTGTTACTCCGTCTTCCTCCAGCGGTTTAGCAGCCTGCTTTATGTCATCGGACGTTGATGACGATTTAGCATCAGTAACTACAACCAGCACTTTAGTCGCTTTAGGTCGGCTAGAATCCTGCTCAAACACCTTCTTTGCTTCTTGCAACAGTTTCTCGAGATTTGGTAATCCAGAAGGTTGCGACAACTTGTCAATATTCCTGGTAAGTTTTTCAACATCTTGACGATCCTCAGAGAGTCCGAGAACGAGCTTTGCGGAGTCACCATATATAACTACACCATACCGTACGCGATCTGGGTCGTACATTTGTATAATATTCTTCAGGGCATTTCTCATCACCTCAAAAGTCTTCACTCTATCAGTACCCGCCGTATTGATAGCAAAGACGACATCAAGGTTGGGTGTTTCTGGATAATCTATAATGACAAAAAGGTAACGCATCTACTTAGTGAAAAAAAAGAAAAAGAAACTAACACACAAATACTACATATTAAATCATTCAAATGCTTCTGAAGAGGACAGTGTTTTCAGGTGAACAGAAACGAACGCTTATGTGAAATAAGGAGGTTTAACTAGTAAACTGCAGAAAAGGAGCTTGAAATATTCGGGCTTTGACGAGATTCTAACCTGTGCCCATTTTGGGCATTATTACCATTTAGGCTACGAGCCACATATTGGGAATCTTTAATACGTGGTTTCAGTTTGAGTATTGGTCCGGCCCTGGCCAGACCAATACTCATGGTCTTAAAATAAGTGAGGAGAATTTTCTACCTTTCTATAATCAAGAAATGGATAGATATTCTAGTCTTCTCGGATAAGGACGAATAAACCGTAGGCCCCGTCTCCTGCAGGGTTAGGGGTAGGAGACGTTAATTTCCCACACACGAGATTATTGTGTGGTGGATGTCCTCCCCTGGGTGGGATGGGTGGGTGTTGGCCCTGAAAAGCCCCTATGGGTCAATTAACCTATATATGTCTGTATGTGAATATGAAGTGTGCCACGTCAAATAAGCTCCTTAATACATTGACAATGATATTAACTTTTCTTTTTCCCACCTCGACTGCAACTTACCTTTCAGAGCCTTCTCCATGATGGCATGGGCGGTTTTCTTGGCGCCGTCAGTGTTGTTAGCCTCGATGACTCCACCCTCTTCAGGCGTCAAAATGTCAAGTTCATCCTTATCAGACTCTTCCCCGAGAGCAACAGCAATAACCTTAATGCCCACGGGCTGCAGCTTGAAAACTTCCTTCTTGAGATCCTCTCCCCTGCTTTCGGAGTCCTTGTCTGCTATGACAACTAGAACCTTCCTCGCATGAGGGCGGACTTTACCTGCAGCGTCAAACTGCTTGGTGGCCTCCCGCAGCACATCAACCAACGCTGCACCACGATTGTTCTTGGAAATGGATTCTGCGATGATCAAAATGAAATGAATTTCACCCATGACATTAGAACTGCTACCTCGAGATCCAGAACTCAAGACTTCAACCACAAGATACAGTATCTTAACCAATTTATTATATGAACGACCAATAACTACAAGTGTTACTTTTCCCAGTACAACAAGACGAAAAGGGATGTTAGTGAACTAGGATTGGTCGTGCAGATGGCGCAACTTTTGACACAGAGCCAAATTTCGTGTTAAATTTGCCACTCAATGAAAGACGATCTCTCATACAAATATAAAAAGCTCCTAAACAAGACCCCGGGAACAGTTGACAACACAAGGCGCTTTCAAAGTCTAACTGGACCTGAAGTAATATCAGTTAAATTTTTTTTGCAAATTAAAAGCCGTGTAATAAAATGTTACGTTTACAAAGTACGGGTATCAAACTTGTTAGCAGCACATACTGATGAACTGTTTTAAATCCTCGTCAGAAGGAAGCATACGATCGAATGGCAGGACAGTGGTTGGTGGGTCGCCATATGTGATGACACTGTAGTGGATTCGACTTGAGCCAAACTTTTGCACGATTGACCGGATTATGTCCTTCATCCTCTCAAAGTTTGTCACGTCATCCACAGCTCTGGCGCTGACGGCAAATACTAAGTTCATCTCCGGTATCTTGGGAACATCTAAAGGAAATTAAAGGATATAAAACACCATAATAGTTCAGTAAGTTTTAGAAGTGAGTTTCCAACAGGAACCATACTTGCATTCTTTAAAACAGATCGAATTGTCAAGGTGATACTTGAAGAGCGTACGTTTGTCTATCTAGAAAATCAAATGGTTGCTTTATAATTCCCTTTGATACTCAAGGCTGTAACAAAATTCTCGAAGGTGATTGGTTATCGGAAGGGCGTTTTGAGAAATTATAGGAACACTTAAGAGAGCAGTTAACGCTTTCCCTCACGTCATGCGTGCGCGCTGATAGACGGACTATTTGGTTTATTTCCTTGTGAATAAAATTCAACAGTTAACTTTTATTTCTGAATAAGTTAGAACATTTCGTTTCTCAAATTTGTCTGTCGTCCAGTGTCTGTAGTCATATCCGTGATTGAAAAATCGGTGTCGCAATCATGCGATTTCTTTGATCACTTGCATAATTACAAACAGAATAAGACGCCACTCGGTCCTATTTCCAATATCGTGTAGACGCAACGGGTAAGTGGTGATGTAGCGATTTACGAAGAATTTGTTTGTTACGACTACAACCCCAAGGTGTTAAGGATGGTAATTACCAAAAACACAGAGTGCGAGTACCTGTCACAATCTTCAGCAAAATAACCTCGGCAGTTTCAGCAGGATCATCGCCTTCGTCGATATCTACAAGGTTCTCTTTGTTGGGTGTGGTTGCAGAGAGTTCTTTCATGTCGGCCTGTTTTCCAAGGGCGACTGGAATAACTTTGATGTCGTCTTCTTCCAAGAACTTGGCCTGTGCCTGAACGTCTCTAAGAGAACTGCTAGACTTTAAATCAGAAATCACCACAAGCACCTTCTTCGCATGAGGGCGGCCTTGCGTTTCGAAGAATTTCTTGGCTTCTGCAAGAGCATTATCTAATAAAGCTCCTGAAGGTTTTTGAGCCGCATCAACTAAATTCATCAAGGCTTTATCGTCCAAGGAAGCTGCATTGTAGGAAATTCTTATAATCGGTCTGTTTCCGAATGTTAAAACAGCATACCGAAGACTGGATGTCCCATACTGATCAATCATGGCCTTGATGATATCTTTCATCTGCTGGAAGTTGTCTCTGTCTTTTACCGCGTTAGCACTAAGAGCAAATAGGAGGTCTGTTTCCGGAATGGTGGGTAGATCTACTTGGAATAAAGCAGACATTCGTTGTCGAGTTAGGGCAAAAGGAGCAGGTGAAGAGAACAGAAGGTGCGTATAAAGAAAATTAAGGAAGAAAAGGAACAGAAGGAAAAAGGGGTATAATGAAAGGAGATGAATAGGATGTAAGACGAACAGGAGAAGCAGGACAACGACGGACAGAAGCAGCGAAAAAGAGGAACCTGAGAAGAAAAATGCAAAGAGGAGACAAGTAAGGTATAAGTAACAGGAAGTAAGACAAGGATGAAAAGAAATAAGAAGGAGAAATAAGAGAAGAAGCAGGACAAAAAAAGAGAAGATGGTATTGGAAAAGGAGAAGGATAATGAGAAAAAGAAAGAACCAAAAGGCTGGGAGGGCGATACAAAGGAATGGGAAAAGAGGAAAAATCGCGGAAGGAGTGGTTAGAGGATATGGAAGACACTCTGTGGTAAGACCAAGTAAAACCAATACTTAAGCAGAATTCTCACCCTCGTGGATCATCATGATGACTCCTTCACCCACGCTTGACGAATCAGCATCCTTGTCTGTGTTAATGACGTTTTTCTTGTTTCCTGTTATAATCTCAAGTTCCTCGTCATCGACATTGGGCCCAACACCTACAGGTATGACTTGAATGTCGTCATCTTTCAAGACCTTTGCCGCTTCCTTAATTTCACTGCTATTATTGGAAGACTCGTTATCGATGATGACAGCGAGGACTTTTCTAGCACCAGGTCGGGGGGTCGCTTGGTCAAACATTGTCTTTGCTTCCTCTAAGGCCTCCCGCAAGTCAGGCTCTCCACGGAGTCTCTGTGGCAAATCCAGGGATGCTAACAATGTCATCTCGTCAGGAAAAGTTCGCGAGAAAGGAATATATGTTGTCACTGAGTCGCCAAACAGGATGACTCCATATCTTATGCTAACTAACCCATATGAGTTAACAATATGCTTGACCACATTTTTCATATTTTCGTATGTCTGGTCGGCTCCGGTGTCTGTGGCACTGATGGCAAATCCTAAGTCTACCATTGGTATTGGCATAGAATCTGTTAAAAATAAAGAAAACAAAAAGATTTTGGCACCATGTAATGGAGGTATAGTTACGTTATGGGGGGGGGGTTAAATTTTCCTTTACAATGGTCTATTTAGAACCCCCTCTACCCTCTGTTGATTTCATTTCAAATCGGTGCAATAGATCTATCCAATAAATTCAAGACACAATCCTATTTCATAATCAATCGTTGGTGAAGATACAGCGAAAGTTACCGTTCTAAAGTTGGTTGGCGTTCCTGTGCTCCACTAACTGATGGATCTAGCAGAATTGATTGAAATCAAACATTTCGTTTTTACCTAAACACCAAATGTTCACGCAATCCTTTTTCTTACCATTGTTTGCCCTTTCTACAACTTCTGCGGCAATATCCTCGGAACTATCATCATCGTCAGTTTGGATCACATTGTTCTTGTTCAGAGTTGTCTTTTCAATCTCTTGTGGATCTGCCTCTTTTCCAAACGTGACAGCGATAACTCGGACACCTTCTCGAGCCAAAGATCTAGCGGCTACTTTCACTGCGATCTCATCACTATCTGATACCTTGTCCATGGCCACCACCAAGACCTTTTTAGCATTAGGACGACTCGTGGCCGCTGTCTGGAACAACTGCCGAGCTTTTCGAAGAGCCCTGGCCAGGTCAGCTCCCTGCTGATTCCTCGTGATTTGCTGCAAGGTTTCTCTCAAGTCCACAAGATCACTCACGTCTCCAAAATCGAGTTCAACCACTGGGTTCTTCCCAAATTTTATGACACTGTAACGAGTTGCAAAAGGACTTTAGCTGTTTATGATCTCATCTACGAGAGATTTCATCTTCCTGAAGTTATTGCCCGAGCTTAATGCTGTTGCACTAAGGGCAAATGCAATGTCTACCATCTCTTCCTCATGGGTGACATCTGGAACAAACAAAGAACAAGCACAAAATGGATTAAAGGTGATCACATTAATAATCAAACGAGCCATTGTTGTATCCTTCAATCAGCCTACCTTATAGCACGTGTGGCTGATAAAGAATTTCTTTGTAGGGAAGGAAAAGGGACTTAGTGTCAGAATGTCAGAGTTGACATGTGGTTGAATCAAATACGCAAGTCAAAATGATGGCGAATGGCAAACTTGGAACATTTTAAGTTACCTTCCAGTACTTTGAACATTATCTTCTCAGCGGCTTTCTCTTCATTCTCATCTTTTTCCATCTCCACCAGGTTATTTTTGTGTTGGGTGATTTCTTCCATTTCCGCTTTGCTTCCTTCTTCACCGAGCACCACTGGGACAACCTTTACTCCAGACACCTGTAGCTCTTTTGCCTTCCTTCTTGTGCTTTCCTTTCCACTTGACTGTGTTTGGTCCATGATAACAACCAACACTTTCTTAGCATCAGGTCTCGCCGTACGCTGAAAGATCTCTTTGGCCTCCTCGAGGGTTTTGTCTAAGGCTGCACCAGAGATTCGCGCGAAGCGGTCAACTCTATCCTTGAGAGTAGCGACAGGGAAACGCTGGCTCTCCCCAAAGCTGACTCTCTCAGACGGCTCATCACCAAAGAGAATGAAGCTGTATCGAATATCACTTTTTCCGTAACGATCTATTATTGATTTCATGGTGTCTTTGATCTTTTGCAAGTTGGCATCTGCATACGAGGAGCCAATGCTGATAGCAAATCCCAGGTCGAGCTTAGGAATCTTTGGCAGTTCTACAAAAAAGACAATTATCCAATAAGCAGTTAAAAATGTTGTACCGGTTATGCTTCATCAGAAAGTCTCTACGTTTGCGATGTAATTTATGATTTATGGCTCAAGGTAACACATTTCAGTGTATCATTGGAAATCTCGAAACAGTTTTATGATATGGATCATAGATTGAAAATAACGATTTTCCAAAGTACGAAACTTTTTGATAACACAAGTTAAACTTGTGACAAACAAACATCTTTCTATAGTCCAGGACAAAAGTTAAAATTGTTTTCTTTCATAATCAGGGTCTGGTTTCAAATCGCTAGCAAACTAGTTTACGACAGCTCAAGAGGCGAACAACTGGGCAAAAAGTTCTCACAGGACTGACAAAAGTCATTTTGGTTAAATAAGAATATGTGATGCACAATGAAAGACAGGAAACTAAGTAACACAAACGTTTAGTTCTATGATTAAACTTTTGTTCCGTGACCCACCTTGTGTAATTTTATCGATAATTATTGTTGGCCAAGTGTCAGGATCAGGAACTGGACAGACGGCGATGTACTCTTTGTTGGTAACCAGTACTTCTATTTCATCGACATTAACCTTTGACCCAACAGTCGCAGGTATAATTGTGACATTCTTCTCCATCAGAGGTTTAGCTGCCTCCTTGATGTCATCACGGTTATTGGCTGACTTCTTATCTATAAAAACCACCAACACTTTTCTGCTTCCAGGCCTGGGCGAAGAGTTTTCGAACAGTTTTTCTACTTCTTCCAAGGCTTTTTTCAAGTCTGGTTCACCCGTTGGCCGGCTGACGTTTTGCACAATCGTTCTAAGTGCGTCTTTCCCGCTGTCATTTTCGAAATCAGTGACAGTGGTAGCTTTGTCTCCAAATATCACAAGTGCGTACCGAATCTCTTCAATGCCATATAGCTTTATTATAGTATCTACTGCATGCTTCATCTTGTCGAAGATATCATCGGCGTCTACAGCAGCAGCACTCAAGGCAAAAGCAAGGTCGATTGCGGGAATATCTCGAGTATCTGAAACAAAAAAGAATGAAAACATCCCACAAGGATTCTAGTAATAATAATTTGCAATGAAAAGACTAGTCAGCAGGTCCATAGGAAAACGCAAATTGGTGAGCAGTGTGTAAAAGATGTGAAACAATAAAAATGGTGACGAGAACAAAAAAAAGAGAAAAAAAAAGAGTCAACACAATATTTGTGTTGAATCTTATCTTACGTATGATGCACGATCCTAGCAGTAGAGAGCGCTATTTATGCAATAGCGAGGATCGTGCATCATACGTATCTATAACCCCACTTCAAAATATATGAACTTCATATATTCATCGTATCTAATCTTATCTTTATCCTGTAAGAGGTTGAAAGTTTCATTTGAAAAATTCTCAGCGTATCGCAGGTGCGAAGTTTTTAAGAAAGGTCGTTTCATTCCTTTCCATTCGGCGTATTAAAATGTGGATTGGCCCACAGCAATTTTTTTTGGGGGGGAGGGGGGTGAGATCTCAATTGTGTCTCAGGTACCCACCATCATGATATGTAGCTCGGATCGTAGAAAAAAATGTCTTGTAGTTACCAAAGACAGTTATGATCGTTAACAGTTCTATAAACTAAACGCAGACGAATACAGTAAACACCCGCATATAAGAACACATGATTTTGGAGGTCAAGCTGATCAGGTTCTTATTTATCGGGTGCTTAGTGAAAAATCAGCCTTAAGGTGTTCTTAAATTGTTTTTAAATTTTGTTGTTGGAATTCAGAACTGTAACAATGCAAAAAAAATGCTTGAGATTAAATTAGCATATTTAATGGCAAAGAAAATTAATAAATATCATGACATTATTGTAACGATTAGCCTGCAAAAGAAAATCAGCCTTATTACTAGTTAACTAGTGAACAGAACAAGAAAATACATCTAACATGAAGGGCATGTTAATGTCTTATCCACTTTATAAGAACATTTTATATTTCCAGGCTGATTTTGTTCTTAAAAAAATGGTGCTTTATTTGCAAAATTTCAGCCTGATGTTCTTAATCCATGTGTTCTTATATGCGGGTGTTTACTGTATAACACCGCCTTTTGAATAGGGTTAACAAAAGTGCTTTCACAATATGACGTGTAAAGATACATCAAATGAATAGTTGAAAAACTTTTATACACTTTGACTTAACCATTGAAATCTTTCTTTCACGGAAACTAATTAATAAGAAAAAAATTATCCCCAAACCTGCTCACTTCTTACCTTTGTCAATGTTTTTTATAATCTCTGTAGCCACACCCTCAGGTCTATCCGTTGTATTGGTAAGAATCACAATATATGTGATGTTTCCTGTTTCTTTTTGATCCACCTCATTACCGACACCAACAACCATCACCTTCACTCCATCGCCCCGTAAGAGTCTTGAAGAGACCTTCACATCGATCAAGTCACTGTCAGATTTACCGTCTACCATCACAACAAGAATATTTTTCGCACCGGGCCTCTCGGTGGCTGCAGCGTTAAAAAGATCTCTTGTTTTGTCCAAAGCTTTATCGAGAGAGTTTGAACCTGTTGTCTGACCAATGGAGTCGATGGTTCGTTTGATATTCTCGATGGAAAGTTGTTCGGTGAAGTCCAAATGAACGAGAGGAGGATCTCCGAAAGACAAAACACTGTAAAATATATTCGAGGTGGGATAATTGTCCACAACGGATTTCATGATCTCCTGCATCTGTAGGAAGGTTCTATCCGAATCCATGGAGCTGGCGCTGATGGCAAACACAAGGTTGACGTCTACTAATCGTGCAGGTCCTGTGTAAAACGTAAAAGATAAATTACATTTCCTGACGAGTTTCCATTATCGACTAAATAAAGCAAACGAAATTGAGAAGTGTACGAGTTTCCTTCTCTCAAGTTGAAAATTTTTGAAGATATTTCCCCGAAGAGGTATGTATTTGACAACCGTCTTCGCTCTTTACGTAATGCTAAAACGTAGCATTCACTATGGATTCCTTGTTCCAGGAACACACATAGGCACTTGAATAACACGAAGCAACTGCTGAACAAGCCAAGCGATAAAATTACTCAAATGCATCACAATACGTACTTTTTATAGCCTCATCTATTTGAACGACAATTACCACTGTCACTTCCTCTGGTTTGTCAGTTGGTTGGACTGGCACAGTACGATCTTCGTCATCTGTAACGGGCTTGACATGTTCTTTCTTCACTTCATCGCCAATAGTAACAGGGATTACTGTCACCCCTTGGTCCACCAGTCTTCTAGCTCTAGCCTAAGGTGGTTAAAATAAAATAAAATGTTTGAGTGCTCTACCCCGCGCATGAAATAGCAGTCGATAACGAAGACGTCTCTCACGTCCTTTTCTTTACCTTTCGACACGAAACTAAGGAATGTTTGCGGTCAAGCTAGGTGTAAAATTGCTTCTCAAAACAAACAGTCCATAAGAAGTAGTTGTCACAGTCGAGAAACGTGTGCTCATACGGTCACAAGCATCTAATCACGAAATCGAAAGTGGCAGGTCATAGTTAGAATCACTGAGCCTCAATTGTAATATGTTCCATTCAACAGATTTAAGAATAAATCACGATTTCAGCACAGTTAAATTGGAAACATTTGTGCACCGCTAGTTTAGAACAAATATCAGTCTTCAGAACCAAAGCAAAGAGCACCTCTACAGCAAACAAGTACAACCAAGTACCATGTACCTGTACGATGACAGGATCGCTCGGTGATAACCGATCCATTATAAGAACTAGTATCTTTTGCGTCTGATCTCGCTTTGAATCTTGGAACAGTATTTCCGCCTTAGCTAGGGCCTCGTCTAAATTCGGAGAACTACGTGTCGATAACATATTTTCACTGAAAGACTTCTTTATCTCGTCCGGGTCCTTGACCTGATCTGTGAATCGGATCCTAATCGTGGCGGACGAACCAAATGTGATGAGACCGTAATGCACTCTGTCGACGTCGTAGTTGTCGATCACTTTCTGCACCGTGTCCTTGAGAAGTTTGAGGTTCTCTCGGTCAACGCTGACGGCAAAAGCTAGGTCTACACCTGGTTCTATTGGGAGATAATTAGCATGTTATGGTAGAGGGTACAGGTCAATACCGCAATATTCTTTTTCAGTTTCTTCTTGCAACTAAATTCCAACCACACCTAACAACGGTAAAAGTTAACTTCTACAAACAAAATCTAAACTTCAAAATTTGTAGCAACAATTTTCATTTTAGTGGCAATATTGTACGATTCAGTCCACATATTCAATCGGTACTTTTTACCTTTCAGTATTAAGATGATGATTTTCTTGCCCAGTTCTTTCGGATTTTCATCTGGAGTGGTTTTCGTCACTTTGTGAGGAGTAAACTTCTTCAGTTCTTTAGGGTCAGCTTCGTTACCTATTACAACACTGATAAGCACGATATTTTCTTCAGTCAGACGATCTACCTCGGCTTCGATGTCTTCTTGGCTGCTGCTAGACCGTCTGTCAGATATCACCACTATAACTTTGCGAGCGTTTGTTCTCCCGCTTGTCTGAAAAACATTCCTTGCCACACTGAGTGCACTTTTCAGGTCTGGCACTCCAAACTCAGGTAACAGCCTGTCAACATCAGTTTGTAGCGAGTTATTTAAGTTACTTTGTATGGAAATGGAAGTTTCACCTTCCTCTCCGAACATAATGACACCGACCCGTATCAGATCCATTGAGAAAGTGTCCAGAATAGAAGTGATTGTGTCCTTCGTATGTCGAAGGTTGTTGTTCCACCTTGAAGAGGTTGCAGTGATTGCAAAAACAATATCCGTTTCAGGAATACGCTCTTCTTTCGCAACTGTTGAAGTAAACGATAGCGTTACATCGAAAAGACGGATATCGTCAACTATGCAAGCTAATTGAACCATTTTGAGGAGAAACTTTCAATCAAGCAATGGAGCACGTCATGAAGCACGTGCAGTTCCCTCTCCGAAAATAAATCATATTCGATCGAAGTTCAGAGCGAACCCCAAGGTCGGGTTGTTCAAGCCTTGGTTAAGGTAACCCAAGGTTAGTGGGAAATTTAAAAGGTTTAAAAGAAAATTCAGTTTAAATCTTTTTGCCTGCAATTTGATTATTGAATGTTCTAGAAAGAATAAATACGTTTCACAAAAAGATCTTTGAACAGAGAAATTAAGAAATTTAACCCTAGTTTAGCGCTAAAAGACATTCGAACAACTGGGCCCTAGTTAAGTTTCTAGTTAAAAGCATAAAATCCTCCCAGATATAAAGGAAATCAATTATAACTGAGGTAATTAACACGAGAATATCTCGTGGGACAGCCTAAAAACTTAGAAAGCTTATGTGCTTCAATCATGACAAAAAAATTGAAAATGTTTGATTCAATTTAGTGCAATATTATAGCATGTCTTATTCATTCCCTTTCGATCGCTGTATTTTCAACATCTACCCATGTGATGCTACAGGTTCAAGAGTCGAAAGCTGGCCACAGCGGTGGGAAGAGAGCGCTTTCACTGTCTCGTCATTACTTTTTACCATTCTTAAGTAAAGAAATTAGAATGGTGGAGCTACTTACCGCCAAAGGTCTTCTCGATTATTTGTTTTGCGAGTTCTTCTGGATCAACGTCTATGGACTCTTTAATGAGATCCTCTTTGCGAGGAATAACTGTTCCCAGCTCATTCAGATCTGTTTCTTCGCCAATCGCAACCATGATTGTACTCACATCTCCTCCGTACAGCTCTCTTGCAGCTTGCAGCTTCTTCATGTTGTCTGCATCACCAACTGACTTGTTGTCGATCAACACAACTAGCACTCGCTTTACCCCGGGCCGCGTAGGACTCCGATCAAAGGCTTCCTTAGCTTCCCGCAAAGCAACATCTAGTCTAGGGCTTCCAGGAGGAAGTCGAATACGGCTGATGCGAGATATGAGTTCTTTGTCGCTTAGATTTTGATCTCGGAAACTAATTACAGGTTGAGCCTGGGTTCCAAACACGACGGCCAAATAGTGAAGTTTGACAGCACCATACTTTTCGATGATCTTGTTAATTGTATTTTTCATCAACAGCGATGTCCTGCCTGATTTTGTGCGTGTCGCACTGAAGGCAAAGCATAGTTCGATCTCTGGGGTCGGTTTCAGACCTAAAATGTAAAAAATGTACCAATGACGGCGTCTTAATTTGGAAGTAAAATGAATATTCATTCATTTATTCATTCATTCTGCATCACCACACAATGGCGATGAGAAGTGGATTCTGTCATTTTCTGGTTAAATCATAAATCTGATAACTACTCTCCCATAACAAAGTGTTGATCACTTGCCTAAGAACAAGACAAAATCTACTGATAAAAAATGTGACTCCCTATTTCTCCCTTTGACACAGACATTTTTCACACTACCAGAGCACAAATCTCCGATCCGCATCAATAAAATTAAGATACCTTCTTTTAGAACTTCATCGATCTTGTCCACACCCTCTTTAGGACCTTCCTCTGGTTTTGTCGGAATGACACTAATCTTATTTGGAGTGACTACTTCGCAAATTGGAGGAATATTGCTCATGCTCAAAAGAACAACAATAATCTGAACTCCTTCTTGTTCCATTTCCTTGGAGATTTTGGCTGCTGCTGCCAAGTCACTTCCGGTTTGTTCTCTGTCAGTGTATACAACAACAACCTTCCTTGCGTGGGGCCGGCTTCCAGATCCTTCTGCGAACAATTTCTGTGCTTCCAAAAGGGCCACATCAAGTCTGGCACGGGAACCCAATCTGGCAGGTAGGTTCTTCATGACGGCTTTAACCTGGCTATCGGAAGAAAACTTCGTCTGGAAAGTATGGACTCTTCTTATGACCGAGTTGTAGGTTAGGAAGCTGTAGGCGGTTTTGCTGATTGGATATTTGTCCAAAAGTTCTATGCCTATTTTCTTGAAGAATGGGATGTTTCTAAGACCAACAGACACCACAATGACAAAGTCGTGTTCCTCACCTTTCTCCTCTGAAAAAATAAATTACAGACTTCAGTGGACAAGAGAACACTTTCAGTAGAATTCTAGGCCAATGCATTCATTCGTTAAAAGGACAATCCAATGACGTGTCGTTTGGAGAAACATCATATGACAGAAGGTGACTTCTGCTTAATTTTTTAATTTCGCTGCGATATAGTATACTTGGCGTTCTACATCTCGACTGCACAGTTGAGATTGATATAAGATTCAAAAATTATTGTATTAAAAAAGATCGAGAAAATCACTTCACGAGTATATTGCTGGTCAAATGGATGGATAAATAAAGATGGTTGTACTGCAATCGGAGTTCAAGTCGTTCAGTGTAATAAAACTTCATCAAATGAACTATGGAACTGGAAACTGAATATTCGGCAATCAAGGCAAGTCTAGATGCTCACACGATTTTAAACAACTTTTTTATAATCGAACAGAGAAACAAAACTTACATTCTCAGCTTCAGTTTAATCGTATTTTGCAGACCGACCGTTACACAAGTGATACAACTCTCTTGCACTCAAGAACGATCCACTTGAACATCAATTAAGTGTCGAAAAAAAATTTACAATGCTAAAATACACGTTTTAAAACTTGCATTCCAGCCTACAGAAATTGATCCCGTCCAATTTACCTGTAAGTCCCCAGCGAATGAAACAAAAATGGGAGACAATGTAAAACTAACTAACTTTTATACAACCGCAGTAAGCGCACTTACCTTTAAACACTTTGCGGATTATTTTCTCTTTTAAATCAATGACAGCGACGTCAATGATGACGTTGATAATGTAGGTTTCGTCAGGTGTGATCACTCCAAGTTCATTACGATCCACTTCGTTTCCAATGGCAACTGGTATCACCCTAATACTGTCTTCCTCCAGCACTTTCGCACTTTCCCTTAACTGGGTAAGCTTGCTTGTTGATTTTTTATCCAGGATTACCACAAGAACTTTTCTTGCATTTGGACGCTCGGGTGCTTTATCAAACAGTTCTTTTCCCATCTTTAGAGCCTTATCTAAATCAGGAAGTTCTTTCTTTCTAGAAATGAGATTTACCAAACTCTTGAGCCCCTCATCACTGGAAAAGTCATCCATTAAGCTGATCTTTGTACTTGCACTCGATCCAAATACAATGACACCATAGCGGAGCTTGTTCATGGAGTACGTGTCAATGATGGCCTTTATAACTTCTCTTACTTTCTCGAAGTTTTCTTCTGCATTTACTGACGCAGTGCTGACTGCAAACACCAGATCGACCTCTGGGATTAATGGAAGGTACAGATCTGTTGGAAAAAAAGCTCCGATTTAGACAACATAACTTGCCTAAAAATTGTACCTGACTTCTGTGGTTCAATTCCCTAATATGACGTCACATCTAGAGTTTGTTGTTAACTCTTGTCCTTCCCTGGGTGTGGAGGGAGGATCCGAGCTTTCCTCTCTCTTTAACTGGCCACACCCCTAATTCTAAGCAATGACGACGAAGACCCTTTAGTGATGATGCCTCTGATAAAGTCCAATTTATTTATTTAATTGAAAAGCATACTCGTCGTACAAAATAGCCCCCTTTAATAACTGGGCTTATTTCGAAATGACCGAGCGCCAAATGCCGCGCAATTCAAGGAGGCCGACGTTTCTTCCGATGAAAGAAAAATCCGTACACTTACTTTCTCGGATCTTGTCGATAATTTTCCTCCCAAGATTCTCTGGTCTGGATTCCTTTGGAACTTCAATGACATTTCCCTTCAGTGGGGTAGTTTTCTCCAGTTCCTCGCGGTTTTCTTCACCTCCTATTCCAACTGGTATCACCTTTATCCCCCCACCTTCCAGTAAGACCGCAAATCGCAATACATCTTCCTTGGTGCTACCTGACTTGTTGTCCACCAGGAGCACAAGGAATTTTTTCGCGTCTGCGCGAGAGCCTGGCCCCTCCAATGCATTTTTTGCATATTCGAGGGTCTAGTCCAAATCGGGTGTGCCACCCTCGGGAGAGAGGTTTTTTAGTACCCTCAACAAGCCCTTCACGTCTCGAAAATCGTATTGAAAGTTCACGAAAGGTCTTATTTGAGATCCGTATGTCACAATGGTATAGTGAATATTCTCAGCGCCATGTGTAACAATAATGGACGACAAAGTGTCTTTAATTAACTGGAATATTTCCTTTGCCCGCGTCGAAGAGGCGCTAACGGCAAAGACTACGTCGATCTTCTCTTTGTTAATTGGGTCTGGAACTGTCAGAAAAAAAAATACTCTGAGATATCGTAAAATAGTTTGTGGTTAATCATCGGGGTAAATGACACTTTAAAATAGAAATGTAATCGTTCGTCTCACGAAGGGTGACGCGTATGCAGTCGAAACGTCGCGATCTATATCCCATATGACCACATCGTGGGATAAACGATTACTATTCTCTTACTCAGCGATGTGACTAAAAATATAAAATAACTAAAAAATTGCAAGAATAGTCCTAGAAGAAAGAGTACATCCCCACTAAGGTACCTTCCATAACTCCGGTGAACTAGATCTTATCAAAGATTGATGTGCTCGTACTATTACATTTTCACGTATCCACGAGAAATAATAACACCACGTACACAGGATCACATTGCATTAAGGAGCAGAATAACTGGAGAGAGGGGAATAAACAGGCAATGCCTGAGGTTATTAGTTGCTGAAAAACGGCATCGGAATGAGGGGAGAGGGAAAACTTCGATTATTTATTGAAAAGAAGTTGATGACGGTAAATAAATTACTGAGGTGAATCTGGGACAGCTGATATTTTAACCACTGGGCTTCTTTGAAACGTTAGCCCCTCGTATATTTATCCCAACAAAGGGACGCAGTTCGAAAAATTCGCAACAACCTCTGTCCACTTAATTCATCGAGTAACTAAGGCAATTAATAGGACCTTCAAATAATTATTTAAAAAACCACGTACGTTGAGCTATTTTCCGTATGATCTCTTCACCAGTCTCTCCAGGATCCTTGTCAGTTGTTGTGTTCAGGGAGTTGCCATCAGTAGGAGTGAGCTCTTCCAACTCTTTACGATCAGCTTCGCTTCCAAGTGCAACAGTTATAATAGACGCTTGATTGTCGATTAAGTCCTTAGCGACACCCTTAGCAACCACCGTGTTTCCAGATGACTTCTCGTCTGTTATGATTACCAAGATTTTCCGCGCTTCCGGCCTAACAGCCTCGTCTTCGGCGAAAATAGTTTTAGCTGTCTGCAACGCATTGTCTAATGCTGAGCCTCCAGGGACGTTCCTAGCCGAGCGTATCTCTTCTACGAGTTTGTCAGGGTCCGTGTATCCGTCAGAGAATCGAAGGACAACAGAAGGTTCATTGCCGTACAACACAACTGCAAAGTGGATTAGATTTGTGCTGTAATTCTGCATAACGTCAGTCAAAATGGCCTTCATGTAAGGGAATGTTTGAGACGATTTGGTAGATTGCGAACTTATCACAAACATCAAGTCGATCTTTGGAAGACGTATTCTCTCTAATAAGGAAAGAAAACAGCAAAGTTAGTTAAGGAAAGTACAATGATGGATTATAGAATACAAATAAACAAAATTAATTACGTGACAATAACTTGGTGCTTAAGCATTGGAAAGTGCTTCGATCGTAAATTTGCAGGAACAGATTTCAGCTGCTTTGTTTTTGTTCCATAGCTGCTCCTCTCGTAGAGAAATTTGTTAAATGAATTACCAAAGTGATCCAGGATCCTAGCAGTAAACAGGATGGGTGTCACATGAGAAACTTCGTAGTGGCTTAGCTGGTGCTTTGTAATGGCTTAGCTAGTGAGCAAACCAGAGACTCTGAAGTTCAATGGTAGAGAATCAGACGCGCAATCTGATCGATGAGGTTCGATTCCTCATGACGACTCAGAACTTATTCTTTATACCACGCTCATGACAGGATGAAAAAACTGAAATATTTCTCTGATCCAGAATTGCATTGGGTTTCTTTCCCTTTACTCCGCGACTGGTCCGAAAATCCGCTGCAGTCTCTCAACCAATCAATTCAAAATTGAAATTAACTGCGACTTTATCTCTTACTTTTTTACTTTTCTACTTACAGGCGATTTGCTCGTTTGTTTAAAATTACTACTGACACATTTTTTTGTCTTCTGATTTGCCGATGTTATTTTGTGGTTTTAGTTTTCCAAACTCAATTGTTTATGCGCGCAGATTGGTACGCCTGTTTAGTGACAAAACTTCCGCTTTCTTTGGAAACAACTTATTTGAACGATAAACAAACCTGCCATGGAGAACCCGATACCCATGAGCCACGTAAAATTACTTACCTGCATGCCGAACATGAAGGAATTAACAAACTCTTCCAGAAAATTCAACACGTTTCTCATTTGTCCTCGCCATTTCGCTCATATTTTATATAAAAATCACTTACTTCTTATCATAATCGCTACAATCTTATTTGCAATGTCCTCAGAGTTATCATCTATATCCGCTGTGATGATGTTGTCTTTGTGTGGTGTAGTGGTTTTAAGTTGTTTGCGATCAACTTCATTTCCAATTCCAACCGCTACAACTTCGATTCCTTCTTCTTCAAGCGCTCTCCCTCCAGCCATAATCACCCAAGGCTTACTATCCGACTTGTCATCGGTAATGATCACAAGCACTTTCTTGGCATTTGGCCGAGCTCCTGCAAATACAACCTGTGCCATTTTCAATGCTTTATCCAAGTCTGGGGTTCCTCTGTTCCGCGGTAAGTTGTCAATGCGTCGCTTCAATTCGTCTATGTCGGTGATTTCTTCGTCAAAGCGTAGCCGCAAGGACGCACGGTCTCCGTACACAATTATCGCTGACCGGATGCTTTCAACACCAAGCTGATTAAAGATGGACTTCATCACTCCTTTCATTGCACTGAAAGTTCGCCGAGAGTCGCTTGCCGTCGCACTGATGGCAAACACTACGTCAACATCTTGAATTGGTTTTTCTGGTGAACATCCAAAACAAATTAAAAACACAGACAGGTCATTACTTGTCGCCAAATTTAAATTTGTGTCATCCATGTAAGGTAACTTGATTACAGCAAACATTTCCTATTTTTTTTGTATTTTCTTTTTTTTAAACAAGAATGTTAAAATTTTTTAGTGATCTGTTTCACTCCTGTCAAATGAGGCAATCAACCAGAATGCTCAATATTCTCAACTACAAGGTGGCCTGAGATGTTACTTTATAAGGCTTCGCAGCCGTGAAGGTGCATCTTCTAAGTCAAGAGTAGCTCCTACTACCGAAGTATTGAAAAGACTGCCACACTTACCCTCTCTTATTTTTTTCATGATTTTTTCCCTGACTTCCCCGCCTTCGTCAGTTTTGGAGCTATTAATAATGTTCTTACCGGATCCTGTTCCGGTAATTAGCTCGGAACGATCCACTTTCTTGCCGACGGTGACTGCAAAGACGCGAATTCCTTCATTATCAACAGCTTGTGCTGCAAGCCTTAACTCCCGTGGAGAGCTTCCCGACTTGACGTCTGTGATTATTACCAGGACTTTTTGAGCGCTTGGACGAGCGGGAGAAAGAAGCTCTACGCCAAGAAGCAGCGCCTTGGCCAGGTCTGGGGCACCTTTGGGTCTGGGAAGACCCTCAACCTTTTGTAATACGCCTGACTTTACGCTGTCAGGTAAGGCGAGCTCTATGCCTGGCAAGCTTCCACCTGAGATGATGCCATAACGAAGTCTGTATATGGAATACTTGTTGATAAAAGATTTGATGATTTCCTTAATTTGTTGCAACGTCGATGAGGCGTCAGTCGAACCAGCAGATATGATAAAACCCAAGTCGACTTCAGGAACCGTTGGTTCGAGGATAACTAAAAACAAAACCAAAGTAAAATCATCTATTCGGTTTACGTCAAATTAAGCAATTCGTCGGCAAATGAGAAAGTCTGTACTCGGCAAATGGTCCATTCAGCAGGAGCCTATCCCAGTTTCCTTATCATGAAGCGGCAAGGGGTATCAATACTTCCCTCTGGATGGGATGACAGTCCATCACAATGTTACCCCCAGCATTTTCATCAGGCTTCCCTGACAATTCGCCATTTACACTCTTAGGCGGAGAGAGACACTATAAGAGTAAAATGTTTTGCCCAAGAACACAACACAATGACCCGTCTAAGTCACGACCCAGGGTCCAACACACTTAACATTACGCTACTGCATTTCCCAAGAAAAACCAAAGTGTTCAA